TGTTTATTTTTACTCTTTAGGTAATACTAGTTTCTACTCGTATAGTGAACAATTATGTATCTTTAGCGGGTAGTATTTTTTTGTTACTTATTTGTGGTTTGTTGCGTATGAGGATTTTACTCAAATTGTCTGTGAGCCGATTTGCATATATTACTGGCACATCTTCTAATGGTGTTGATTTGAAAATTTCATGCCAAATTTGGTGAAATTTGGCTCCAAATTGTGCTAATGATGGGCTATATATAAAGTGGACTAGCACATCTCTGTTGAAGTCGATTCTTTGTTTTGGTTTTTTATTACATTGTATATCTAGCACTGTCTCACGGAACTTTTTGTGTTGATCACTAAATAATAATTCTGGTCCGCTTTCTCCTGTGAGGGTTTTGTAAAATCGATTTATATGTTTATCAATAAATTTAGGTGGGTATTTGTTAAGTAGTAAAATTATTCGAATTTTTTGAATTTCTTCCTTCAAATCTTCCCTATGTGAACATATGCGAGTAGCTCTGAGTATTGCTGAGAATGGTATATTTTGAAAGATATGTTGTGGATGTGAGGAATGAAATGGTAGTATGTATGGTTGTGCAGCGAGTTTTCGACAGACTTTGGTTCGAAAATTAGGTATTTCGACAGTTATTCTGACATCTAAGTAATCAATAGACTGACCTGTCTCAAAAGTTATAGCTATGTTAGGGTCTTTTTTTCCTAAGTCGGTTAATATTTTGTTCATTTCGTCAACTGTCTTTTGTGTAGTCAAGAAAACATCATCTCGAAATCTGCGGTAGAGCTGTTTTTCTGCTTGTTGTTGTTCAACTAGTGATTTTTCCCATTTTTGTACATATACGTCTGCTAGAACTTGAGTACAAGCGGATCCCATTGCTCCCCCTCTCGTTTGTTGAAAGAATCTCGGTGGTTGTCCTGGTAGTTGGAGTGTGAAGTAGGAATTATTCAGTACATGTTTCAATAGGATGCGAATAGTGTTTATCGGTATCTCACCGTTCACCTTTCTTATGTTATGCTGTCCTAACATTTCGCAAATCGTCATGATTGCTTCGTGTTGTGGTATCGATGTATATAAGTCAGTAATGTCGAAAGTGTATAATTTTGTCTTTTCATTTGTTTCAAATGTTATCAAATCGTTCAAAAGATCAATTGAATTGGTCAAACTGTACGGTGTTACTTTATCGAAAATAGGTCTTAATATTCGGTCTAAGAAAGATGAAATTTTTGAAGTAGGCGATTTTATTCTGGCTACAATTGGACGTAAGGGTTCTCCAATTTTATGATCTTTGGGATTATAGTTGAGGTGTGCAAGTTCTGAGTCATTTCGGGATGGTCTTAGTTTCTCAAGATATTTTGATGGTAAAAGTTTCCTTCGTACTAAATCAACTAAAAGTTCTTCTGTACTCTTGATCATATCTTCTAAAGGTGATTTATCTATCTCTTTATAAGCATTCATCTTTGACATGTATTTCGTTGATTTTTCTATATGTACTTCAGGTTTTTCTAGATGAAATACTTTAGATTTATCAGTTTGACGAATGATGACTTTTTTTTCTCTTTGTGCTTTTTTCAAATTTCCTAATATCTTCAGCGTTTTTGGATCTACCATCTTTTCCTTTGATAGAGTTGTTCGAATTTCTTTTTCGATACGTTCACAAAAGCGATTCACTATTTCTGGATTTCTACCAACCGTTCTTGTTTCTCGTCGCCATGCGGCTGCTACTTTTTCTTTCATCACATCAATTTCGTTTTCTAATCTTTGCAAGGTCTGCTTTGGATTTTGTGGAACAAATTTAGGACCATAATTCAAAATTCTACGTTCTGCATCTGTTAGTAGTAGTGCTTTATTATTAACTTGAGGTGGGTAAGTAAGGGAAGTGTAATATGGATGTACTTTTTTCTGCTTCTTTGATTTTATCATGTTTTTCCCATTCTGTAGGCTTTTTGTTCTAAAAAATGAATCTTTTTTTCTACAGTTTGATCTTGTCTTGTCTTAGTTGTATGAATGAGAACATCAAATTGTTCTCGAATATATTCTGGCAATGTTTCTAGTGATTCTTTATAATTTTTCTCTATTTTTTCAATTTCGGCAATTTTTGCCATTATCATGATAGATGTAAAATCTTTCTTTGCATGTCGAATTATATTGTTCCATTGTTCTGTGAATTGTTCTATCTCATTCTTTTCTAATACTTTGCTATATAATTGTAACTTGTCCATGGCATTCAGATAAGGGGGTGGCATATTCAAATTCATTCGTTTCTCTAATTTTTTATGTTGAAATTGTAGATTCAACATTCTCATGTATTGTTCTTCTAGCTTCTTTATTTGTTCAAATTCATGTGTCTCACACTTCATTTTTATTTCTCGCATGGCTTTCTCTTTCATTAGATCTAGAATCAAATTATCAAGACGTTTGCGATTTTTTTCTTTGAGACTCTCTATGAGCGGATCGATGTTATTGATGATGTATTGTTTAAGTATTCGTCCTTGTCCTATTGGTATTTTGCTCATTTCATTGTTCAACTTTGTTTCCATTTGTTGTGTTGTTTTTTCTAGAAAGGTACGATGCATCTTTATCGATTCTGCATTGCAGTTATTACCAAGAATGTATTTGCATTCAAATGGTATGATAGAAAAGTCAAATGAATGAAGTTGTTCTATATGTGTATCTTTTGAAACCACAGATGGCGACTGAATTTCTATGCTTGTCGATGGTCGACGTATTACACGTTGTGTATATATTGATGAATTTGGGGACTGATTTTGATTGTGTCTAGTTGGTGTTGATTGTGTTAGAGGATTGTAGTGCTCAGTTAATTGTTCTTGATCATCCTCATCTACTTCTATATTACTCGTATCTTTTCTTGTTCGTACATTAAATCCAATCGGTGATAAAGATGTATCACTTAATTTTCTTTTTTTCTTTGTTTTCTGTCTGCTTTCATCGTTAGTTTCGCTGTCAAAGGTTTCGTTTCCTGACCATCTTGGAGAAGTTGGTCCCGTACGAATTTCAGGTATTTCTCTATTGATACTACCGTTATTTCGATGATTATATGTCTCATCATTAGCAAAACGGACCGTTCTTTCTTTTGGTGTTTCTTTGCAAGAGGCTACTCTTTCATATTCTCGCCATTTTTTTGTTTCTTCTTCGAAGTGTCGATATTGATAATATAAATTTGCAATAAGAAAGACTTTATCTTTGTCAATATTTTCTGGTGGTGTACTGTCACGGAATAATTGATTTGGATGTTTCAGTTTATGTGGATAGTACTTTATCGACTGTCTACTTGGTAAACATGGGTGACGAAAATTTATTTTCTCAGTTTTTTTGTAGTTTACTATAAAGGGTTGTGTAGAATTGAGTTGTACTTGCCGTGTAGTTGTTATTGGTTGTTGTCGTTGTTGCTGTTGTGAACTAATCAAGTTATTGTTGTTTGTTGTTGCTGTTGTTATAGTGCGTGTTGTTTGTTGTTGTACAGTTGTTCTAGAGAGATAAGTTGCTTGTTGGAAGAACCATCGTCGTTGTACATTTTCAAATTTTTGTCGACCAGATGATAATGTTGGATGTAGACCGTCTTGTATTCTTATATCTTCTACTTGTAATTGTGCATCAACGATATCAATATTTATTTTCTTCGATAATAGATGTAATCGATTGTTAAATTCTTGATGAAGAGTTGTAAATTCATTTCCTGTAAAGAATCGTGATGATTTCCAGTGTGGAGATAGTGCCATCCATCCTATCTTTTGGATGCAAGGGAAATTTCGACGTGTATATTCGACAAGCCATTCACAACGTTTTAATGTAAGATCGACACCAAGTTGTGCTATGTCATTTGTTCCTAAAGAAAAAAGAACCACAGAATTACCATTTATCTTATTTTTACCTTCTATTGATAACATCCAATCTGCCATTTTTTCACAATTGTATCCTGATTTAGCAATAAGTTCAACATGAATTACATTTGGTGTATTAATTTTGAATGTTCGACACTTTGATGCCATCGAATCAGATAAGATAATGCCATGTATGATTTTATGTTTTGATGTTGATGTTATTGTTGGAGGTGTTATTTTTAATTGATTTCTTGATTGATGTAACATTGATACTTTGTCATATGAATGTGAACGAGAATGAGAACGAGAATAGGAGTTTTTTCGACGATAAAAATTGTTATCATGAGAATGTCTGTTGTTATTAAAATGAGTATGACGAGTGGCATATAATTCATTTGTTTGATGGCGATGATTTGATCGAGATCTAGAGCGAGATTGAGATTGAGATTGAGATCGAGATTGAGATTGAGATTGAGATCGAGATTGAGATTGAGATTGAGATCGAGATTGATGAATTTTTCCGTTTTTATGGTATTGACGATGGTAAATGTTCTTCGGTATTTGATGTTGATGATTTTGGTAAATTTGATATGCTTGTTGTATTGAAACAGTCTTTTTTCTTGGTGGTTGTTTGAATAAGATATCATCTGGATTAATAGACATAAGACTCAAATATGGTGATGTATGTTTATCTTGGAATAAATGTGAAGTAGGTAATTTTGGTTGAATATCAATTGAGTTTTTTGAACGATGATGAGTCTGTTGATTTGAGTTGAGTAAAGATTTTCCTGTAAAATTTGTATAACCAGACCATGTAGTAGTAGTGCCGGCTTGAAACTTATGAAGATAATTTTGCTTTCGTTGACCTGCTCTGTAGAGCGAAGGTTTTGTTGATTTATGATTAGGAATGTGAGGAGGACGAGTAGTAGACATGAAATGTGGTCGATTTGAAGTTGAGTAAGAAGATGATGAAGAAGGATAAGTAATAATAGAAGAAATAGTCGGTTCAATTCGTCAATTAATAAGAAAGGTGATGTTTGAACTAAGTATATTATTTAACAATTATTTTATTTTTGAACCGACAAGTAAAGTGATTTTTGAGAAAAACGAAGAAAAAAGTTTTTTC